GGCAGTTATCAAGTATTGTTTCAAGTGATCACTATATTCACTAGAAGCATTTTTTTTCTTCATTTGCTGCTAAATTTAGCAAATAACAGAAGAATAAATATTTCCATCCACCATAAGAGAATTTATCGCTTTTTACTATTAACATCCGGACTTTGGAAAAACTTGTACAATAAGTCGATTGCTCATTCATATTTTGCAAAATCACCCAATCTATACATTAGTTTATTATATTTCTTAATTTGCAGTTCATTAATTTGCAATACAAACTTAATTCTTGTATTCTTAATTATAGTTCTTTGCTATACATACATCTCCGGGCTACAAATTTTCTCCACTATAATTTTACAACACTTCCTAAATCACCCTATAATATTTTCTCATTTCTCTTCAATTATTACTTTATTTTTTTTAAAAGAATTTATTTACACCCTAGCCTGAAAAAATCTATTGTACAACAGCTATCACTCTATTCAAAAACATCATAGCTCCTCTAATTTTTAGCTACTCTACCCTCGGAAGGTGTCAAAATATTGGTGAATGGTTTGGAAAATGGTATCGAATTGTAGCGTAAAAGATGTTTTACCAGTTAAATACATGCAATATAACGTCATTTTTAATAGAGTTACTTTGCATAGTGGGAAAACAAAAGGAAGAAAAAGAAAGTTTGACTAATTGGGTGTTTTTTAATTTCTTTTGCGTTGAACAAATGAAAAATCTAATTTCATATATACACTATGGTGAACAACAGATTTAATTAACTCTTTTTTTTTTTGAGAAATAAAATTTATTAATTTACTGGAAACCGTCCAGCAGCGATTGATAAGAAAAGATACAACACAACTTACCATTGGCCATAATCATAGTGCCTTTATTGTGTTTCATATAGATAAACTTATATAGATCTACCCTATCAAGTAGTGGTTGTATCACGTGCCGAAACAAAGATACAACACTAAAAATCAGTTGAAACTCCCAAATCATCGATCTAACAACTAAATCTATGATGACTAAAACTTTTAAAGCCATACGAGCGAACTCCAACGAACCCGTTGCCACACCTGAAAATATCATCGACAAAAATGTCGCCATACTAATGAACATCACCAGGGAAGTTGCCGCCATACCAGCAAACATCCATAAGGAAGAAGTCGCTATACCTAACTAGTAGAAGAGATTATAATCTCACTTATTAAAAATAAATTAAATAACAATAAAAAATATAAGGATCGGGACATAAATATCTCTCCCATCCTTCCATGGTGGAAAGATGGGGGAAAAGATGGAGTTTTTTTTGTTTTAGGATTTTAGGGTTGGAGAGGGAGAGAGGGGCGATTTAATTAACTCTAGATAGCAATGAATTTGGTTGTAATTGATGATTAAATTTCACTAGCAAATCGATTGAAGGTCTTTAGAATGAAATAGTAAAATGTAATATTAATTAATTTCTACAATCAGTGTTTATAAAATATTATTATGATGACCAATAATATTGTTAAGGTGCACTTTGAAATCCATATAACTTCAAATAAAAAAGGTTATTTTTTAGGCAAATGATCATTCCTCTTTTTAGGTAAAATTCCAAGGAAAAAAAAAAATGAAGTTCTTGAACCTTTTGGGTGAAATACATGAAAGATGTTTTTTTTTTTTTGGAATTTTGTTTTAGGACATTGAAATAATGAAAATTATTCATAAGGACATGACCACATTTTATATATATCTTTAAATCATCAAATTATTGTCTTATCTTTTCTCTTTTTATCCCTAACTAATGTTAACGGGAAGTTTACGTCTCCAATCAAACTTTATCGGAGCCGCTCCCTTCCAGGCCATATCCCAAATTCACGTGGAATTCAGCTGCTAATTGAAATAACTACTCAGATATACGAGACTTCTATGTTTCTAAACAGTGAAAAGATCAAGTTGACTTCGTGCAAAAATTTCATTTAACGGTGAAATTTTGTCACACTTCCAGTGCTAAGTTTGTTAGGAGATGACAATAGTTATAAACTCCTATGTTTTTTTCAATAAATCATGATTCAATATAATCCTGAAAGAATGAATTAGCCAAAATAGTATAGTGGAAACATGGGAAACTCATGAATAGAACTATTGGTGATGAAATCTGCACAACTGCTCCTACTGCTACTGAAGCAGTGGGTAAAAATGACTAGAATTTGTGAATTTAATAAGATATCATTCTAAGCAACCATGAGGCTATGTGAATTTAATAAGATATCATTCTAAGCAACCATGAGGCTATGTTCTTTTGTCTAGAAACAGAATCAGAGAAAACGAATCTCATTTCTGAAAGGAATTGTCCTTTCATTAAAGAAATCTTTCATTACTTTTTGACTTGTTTTAAATGGTTATTATTTGATGATTGATTCGTTTCTTATTCATAATTATGTGAATTAAATTTGAAGTTTTAAATAAATTATAAGAAGAAAATAAATTTTGGACAATAATAATTTAATGAAATGAATGTTGAGGTGTTTTAGCTGGTCTTTTGAAATTTTTTCTGATTAAAGAAATTTAGATATAAAGATCAATATTGAAGAAATGTTAACATGGTATTACCGTTACTACATTGGTGTTGTCTCGTAACTTGGAAAACTTAATCCTTTTCCTTTTATTTTTCATTGAAACGCAACAATAGTGGCAATCAAAATAAAAAAACCATTAACTCCATTTCCATTGCTGTCAAAAGGACGCAGAATTAGTACTGAAGAGGACGCAGAATTAGTACTGAAGAGGAAAAGGATTGAAAAGCAACTTGATCGTTGGAAAATTATTGATCGTTGGAAAATTATGATAAGTGATTAAATCATATTAATAATGACCAAATATAAGCCAATCCGTTTTTGTTTATTCTTATAATGCCTTGAAATAAAATTGTCTCCTTTTCTCTGTATATGTATAAAAAGGAGAATTTTATTGTTTTTTAAAATAATGTTGTTCACAAGGAAGCACTTCATATCACATAATTACACATTTTATTCCTATTGTTATTTGTTTGAATTGTGTCAAAAAATTTTATTGCGATTTTTCATTATGTCTATAGAATAAAATACTATTGTGAAGTATTGTGCATTAAGTCAATTATTGATCATGAAAATAATAGAACTAATACTTATCTTCAAATCATTTATTCTTTAAATTATCCTTAATAATTTTGTTCGTAAATAAATTTGATATAGTCACACCTAACAATGTCAACTTTAGAATATGAATAAAGTCACAAGAAGCCACTCAAAAACTATTGTAAATTAGATTGATTTGTGCTTTACAAATCATTATACATCCCTTTACAGGGAAATAGTAGTATTCGAACTTTTTTTGTTTTTATGTTTGTGGTAATACTATGAGTCTTACCAGCAACAGATAAACCCACACCTGCGGAGTATGCAAACTAAATGGAAGGTAAACCATTCTTGGTAAATTTTAAGTTTCAAGATCGCGAAAATTAGCGATGCGTATATGTGTTATATATTAATAATTAACAAACCACTAGAGATATTCACGACCAACACTCCATACTAGAGTGGGAAATTAAATATAAGACATTTTTTAATAATACAAGAGTGATTTTACTACTGAACTAATTTACTATGTGTAACATTTGAACTTTCTAACAAAAATATTTGAAATATGTGCGACACGAACAACCTTATGAAGTGATTTAAAAGGTTTAAATTAAAAAAAAAGTCTTAAAATACTCATATACAACAAAGAAGGAAAATTCAATAATCAAATAAAAAATAAGATATACAAGAAAGCACTACAACGAATGTGATCGTGTATTAGAACAATCTTTTTTCTTTTTTTTTTTCATGACAGTAAGTCCAATAATTTTTTTACGATTTTAACCTTGTTTACTTAATAAAATGCAATCAGATTCTAATGCAAAAGTGGGTTATTGAATAGATGATAAATTCGACCTTTAAAGCAACAATATCTGGGATTCAGTGCAACGGACATGCATAAAATTAGTTTTAATTGTATCAGGATTGAATCTTATGATGATTGGCGGATCGCTATAATTGAGGAGAAAAATCCAAGTTAAAGTTAGATTTAGTTTCTTTATTCTTTAATGTTTTTAGCCTGTATTTTATGTAGAGAGTTATTATTTTCCTTCTTCTATTTAATTAAGCATTATATAGGTGTTTATTTGGTGGTATAGTCATAGGTAAATTATCAATGTTCACATTTTGTGCATCAGTATACCTTTTTTTTTTCGTTGTTTCAATAAGTTTATAAAAAAAGAGTAAAGGGATAATAAAAATTAAAATCTAGGAAATCGATTTTTTTCCCGTTTAAGCATCTATATCTATATACTATACTAAGGCAAAAATCAGAGAGAGAAAACTAAAGGCATGGAGCACATGCTACATATGATTTAATCTTATGTGGTATTTTCTTAATTTCTTAGATTTAAAAATGCACAAAACAAAATAATAAAACAAAAAAAAGCAACTAGAATAATTTTTTTAAAAAATAAAATAATAAAAACCGAACCTTTATTTTCATGAACCAAATCCGAACACAAAGATTGATTGGAGAGAGTACCAAATCCTAACAAATTTTAGAGAGATCTGCATAAACCTTGTCACCAGTGAATTTAAAAATGTCATTTAAAAAAAACAAATTCCTGTAAACCCAGAGGTAATCATATTTAAAACTGAAATCATTACATATTTTATAAAAATACAAAATTTATATAAAAATGTCTACATGTGTATGCCTTCTCCGTCCATCGGACGGGTTTAACACCTAGTTCGAGTGGTAGGAATGAACGACCGACTTACTTTCCAAATCCAAATTTGGTTTGGAGGCCAATTTTCATACCTTATAAACTAGTATCGCCATCAGAGCCCTAATCAATATCTCCTCCACTGAAGTCTTTATTTCTTTGTTCTTGTTAGAAATCCATAATCTCACACTTTTTCTCTGAGTTTTGAGATATGAACCAGAGATTGAAAGTACTCGTACTAATAAAGAAGATGGAGAAGGAGTATTCTTCGATGTATAATGGCTCGTTTTTTGGAACTTCAGAGCGACTTATTGTTTCTCAAGGAGTGATTCAAAAGAGTAGCGATCGCTACTCAGTTCGTCCAGGATCATTTCTCAGAAGGATCCAGCAATCCAGAGTAGGGAAAGACGACGGAAGAGTTAAGGATCTGGATGTTGACGACAAGCTAGAGAGTATAAAATACAGCCGGCTGCCGGGATTACTCCTTTTTATTCTCCGATGATGATGCTCCGGCGGCTCCAAAAGTAGTCTCTCCCTTGCATGTTCGGATCGGTCCACAGGTGACGACTAGGGTTCCGGTAGTTGCATCACAAAAGAAGGTCATCGCACCAGTTCCAGTGAGTTTGAAGCAATCTTCATCAGCAAGGAAAGACGACGATGTTAATCGTCTCATTAGAGAAAACAAACCAAAGGTGGCGGCCGTGGTACCCAAGGAAGTAAGCCGCCGGCCACCATCACCGGAAGCACGCCGTCCGATGAAAAGACCGACGAGGCATTATGATGACGAGGAAGAGGATGAGAACGCAAATGCGCTAAGGATGATGAGGGAGATGACTGGATACGACCCTCGGACGTATACAGATAGAGGGGATGATCGGAACATGGAGGCCAGCTTCCATGATATTGAGAAGGAAGAAAGAAAAAGTGCCAAATTAGGTCGGAAGAAGATGAAGAAGAGCTTCGCAAGATTGCAGAAGAAGAACGGATGGAGCGGTTGCGGAAGGAAGCCAAGAGGAGGCGCAAATTGAGCAAATCAGTAGATTGAATGAATTCTTTATCATCATTCAAAATTTGGAATACTGTTATGTAAAAATCTGTCCCTTCTATGAGCTTACTACACTTTGATTTATTATACTCACTTGATTCAAGTCTGACCATATCACTCGGATTTCAAGGGGAAGCAATAATAACTCTTCATGATAACTCGTGGTGTCTTACAAAAATAATCTATGTTATATTACGATTTTAATTCAACAAAATATGTTCTTTTTTCTGAAAGTATTGTTTTTTCCATCCATATGAATCGAATTCAAGATCGAAATGGGCTTTTCAGTTTGCCTTAGGCAGTGGTGGTTCCTTCATGTCGCGGTTTTGTTTTAAGAGCAGACAACTGTGAGTTACATCTTGCTATTACTTTTTCAGCTTCTGATTTTACTAGCTCAGGCCTGAGTGAACCTGGCTACTATCTCTGTGTAATAACAAAAGAATAAATGCTAAAAGAAAATTTATCAAGTCAATGAGACCGTATCCAGTACACCTGGGTATACCGTATATCCCACCAAACATACGCACTATATGCGCTCAATATTTTTCACCGTTACATTAAATGCACAAACAAAATTGTTTTAATCCATTTTACTGTTTTCATCTTTACGCACAAACACACACAATTGCTGGTTATTCAAAATTTATCCACAAGTTGTAAACTGGTTATCCAGAAGGGGTAAACTAGTTATCCAAAAGGGGTAAACTAGTTATCCAAAAGGTGTAAACTAGTTATCCACAAGGCGTAAACTGGTTATCCAAAAGGTTTAAACTGCTTATCCACAAGTTGTAAACTGGTTATCCAGAAAGTGTAAACTGGTTATCCACAAGTTGTAAACTGGTTATCCAGAGGTAAAGAAGCAAACGACATGTTAATTGGAGGGCTTCGCCCCCCATGATAAACTAAACGACTCTTGCGGCTACCGGAATCGCAGGTCACCAACCTGCTCTGGCTGCGCCGCCCCGCCGAACACGCCAATGTAGCTAAAGTAATCTTTTTTTCGTGTGTGTGTAAGGAGAGTGTGTTATTGCGTTAAGAGGAGACACAAATTACTTGTATAAATCCCCCCGTGATAAACTAAACGACCTGGTTGCGCCGCCCCCCTACCGAACACGGCAAATTTCATAAATAGTATTTAATTAAATGAGTGGCATTTTGCCAAATGATGGAGAACAAAAATGAATGAGGGGCAGTTTGCCAAATGATGGAAATAAGATACGTTCAATTGTGTATAACTAATTATCCATATTGTCAATACAGTTGTATAACTAATTATCCATAGTGCAACACTGGTTATCCACATGGTAAACACTGGTTGTCCATAGTGTGTAGCTGGTTATCCATAATGTGCACACTGGTTATCCAGCTATATTTAACTAGTTATCCATAGTCTGCACACTGATTATCCACAGTGTCAATATTAGCACAGTAAGATTGTCCGATGGATTTCCCACCACTACATTCCGCATTCATCAAGTCGGAATCCTCAACGAGATAACTCATCACGCTATTCTAAGAAAAGAAAAAGAAAGATGAATTATCTAGCAAACTCACGCTATTCTAAGAGAGTAACGTACACGCGCAGGGGGGTACACGGTGCCCCCGGGTGTACCAGATAATTCGCCAAGCCAATACTTTCCTTCTAAAAATCAAACCAAAATCTTTTATGAAACCATCATTCCTTGAGTACAAATTTGCTTTTGATCTTAACCTACACAGCAGATATCAAGGAATATGACTATTCCTCGATTGATTTTCAGTAGATGTCATTCAGATGAATTGCTTGAGAAACTCTGTCGCAACACGCCTCCCTCTTGTGTTCACAGACAATTTCAGTTCACTGATCTCTTTATCAATGTCCTGCCGTTACGGTAGAAAGTACCATAGTGACAATAAGAAATGATGCTGGGGAGCCTTAAACAACAAAAATCCTCCTCTTGTATTGAACCAAATCGTAGAAATTTTTCTCCAAATTAGTTTTTATCCAGTTATGTACATACTGCATGTTAATTTCTAAAGCTAAGATGCATCGGTACTCTCAAGAAACACAAAATCTTTTGGAACCAAAACATGCAGTTTTAGAGAAATAATGATGTGTTTTTTTCATAAAATGAGGAGTCTTCAATTACTTTCCAGAACACAGAACGGGAGATCATTTGCCAAATAGAAGAAGCAAAAAAGATGTGTAGCCTTTAGAAGAATGCAAATTACAAAAAACAAGATTATCATTGTTTATAAACTAGGACAAAGAAGGTTCTTTTGGATCAAAGTCATGTGTTTCTGCAAACTGGGGACAACAATGTTTAGACTAAAAGAAATCTTACCTCCATGAACTGAACAATAAAATCTATGAGCTTGTGTTTCTGCATCTCCTCGCAGTGATAATTAGTTATGCTAAATAATAAAAGTGGCTCAAAGGAAATCTAAAAGAAAACTACGTGTCTATCTAAAGTGGTGTTGGTCGTTCACTACTGATCTGGGGTTATTGCGAAGAGTTGATTTAGTTAAAACCCCAGATCAATAGTCTTTTCAAAACTGTCGGTATAACAGAGTAAACATCAACTTTTAACATCTAATCTATCGAAGATTGAAGAGTAATGAACATCTCCAACGTTGCCATTCAAAAAACAAAACCATATCCATATGAAGAGTTTTCTTGTTCATAAAAGTTGTGCTTTATTCAAGTTAAAGTCGTACATACAGCCATTTCCATATTGAGTGTCTTTTACAAGTATGATAAAACTTAAACAATTGAAAATCAAAAAAAAAGTTATGGGAAACATTTTGAAGTCACTATGAGCTGATCAAAATTAAGCCAAACATACCTGCACAGGCTTCCTCCTCAATACCTGAAAAGCCTCCGCTCTCATTGACAAAAATCGAAGGAACTTTTTTGTTAAAATGTTTTCAAGTTCATCTGTCTGCTTCACCTGAAAAGAGGAGGAAAAAAAAGCATAAGAATTTCCTTCCAAAAAAGTTTTGTTATTCTCAAGAAAAAGGAAAAGAGGAAGTATAACAAATTATTTGTTTTGACAAATAATTATCAACCTACCAATTCAATTACAATCAGACCTTTTAGTAAATCTCAAAGCAAACATAAATATTACACACAAGGAATTGATACATAAATAAGATTTATCCATCTAAAATAGATATAGTTACCTTAAGGCTTATGCGTAGGGAATTTATTGATGTTTCTATCAAGCACTTTTCTGCCTCATTTCTACATATCACAACCTAACAAAAGGCACTGCCAAATGGGTAAGTAAATGCCCATTTGAATCATAGAGTTTCAAGATACATCAAGTTCTTGCTATTTAAAAAGATGATATGTCAAATCATAACATCTGCTCATCGATTCTATGCAAAGTAGGTGTTGGTATATACACCCAAAGTCTATGTCATCAGTTACATACTGTAAAAAACTAGAACATGCATGTGCGCCAAGGAATCAGAAGCACCACGCCACAAGCAAGGGGGTTTCCCATTGACAAAATAAAGACTAACTTTATTTCGGTTATACTCCAAGAACATTCACTGGTGAAAACGTTCTACCTTCATGCTTATTGGATTCCAAGAGCCATTTCTTGAAAAGCACAAATATACTCCACTGATCCTTTTCATTTTCTGCAGAATTCTAGTACCGATTCGAACTTTCCTTCAATGTACTACAACTTCAATCTAGAAAAACTAAACTTAACGGAAAAAGGAAAACCAAAACACACATAAACACACACACACAGAGAAATTGCTGTCCAGGAAGAAGCCCCCCAAAATAACTCCAAGTAGCATCTTATGGGTCATTTTTCTTTTAAATTTAATACAGAATGCATGAATATTTTGCTCATACTCCACTATCGCAAACACAAAAGTTTAATACATTTATAAATGTTCAATCAAAATTGAATATGGTAGACAAAGAACCCAACAGAAACACTTCTCATTTTGAAATCTAACGCGCATCTATTGAGATTTCCAACTCAGAATTATGAATAGAAAAGGAGCAAAGCGATAAAAAGTCCACGCACAGGAACTGGGATGTTTATGCATTAAAAATTTAACGCACAAAATTGGCATGAGAAACATAACGTCCACAAGAAAAATGCCAGGGAAATGGTTCTTACAGAATTAAGCAAAAGCTCTGGGCTAGTCCTGAAAATGAACGCAACAATGAAAATGAATAAGGATTACTGGACATAGTAGGTAATGAATCTCATCAGAGTAAAACCATAAAATGCAGAAATAAAAATCCCAAATGGTGAAAATGCTAAGAAAACAGCACGAAAAGACTCTGTTTGGCTTCATCATCAGATAAAATCTCCAAATATCAACAATATGAGCACCAAGGGTTTGCTTATCATTTCGAAACCAAAACAAGCCATCATCGTCAGTGTTGATAGGCAAGTTCACCGTGCTCAATCAGAAAAAGCACACTCACACAGCGCCCTGCTATCAAATATTGCATACAGAAGAATATGGACACTCTGTCTAAAGACGCAAACAGGAAAATGAAAGCCAATTCCTATTTCGTCTCGTGCTTGCCAGCAGCATCATCTTCATTTTGTGACGGAAATACACTAATAACATTGTCTGGAATTATGAAAGTAAGGCAAGTACTGGCCTTGGAAGAAACAACCTACTCATAATGAGGCTGAAAGTGACAGACAAACCTAACGGCGGCATCACAACTTGAATCTTTTAATTTCTGCCTTGAGGGCTACATTACATAATTCTGAACAAGAGCATGAAGCTAATTATATGAGCAACAACAAGTAATGAAGCTAATTATATGAGCAAGAACAAGTAAATGGAGCTAAATATGACAACAATAAGCTACAACTCACTTTAGTTCAACTTCAGGCTTGTTGTGTCTTTCAACTTCTTGACAAGGGAAATTCTGCCACCAGAATTAAGAAAGGAAAAGGTGTAAATAAGGAAGTCATCACCAACAAATCGTGGAAAAGACTTGTCAATCTCAGCATTTTGCTAAATATCAGAACCGGAGATACATATGACAACATTGGTTGCAGAAGTCCTTGTATAGCTTTTAACCGTCCACGCCTTTGAAGAAAGAAAGTACAATTTATAGGCTTATCACAAGGAGAAACGAGACTAGGCTGAATGTGAAAAACATGGCAATACGGAAAACAGGGAAACAAGATAGTACTAGGAAAGGTGCCAACCAACAATACACAGAAAGAGAAGGTAAAAGAACTAAGGAAAAACTTTGGCACAATCAACTAAATATGCTGATAGTGTTCCGCTTTTGATGGATTTGATTCAGTATATGTACTCCAGAATATTGGAAACAAAAAATGCCTTCAAACCAATATTTCAAAAGGAAGAATTATAAATACCTGGAGACACATTGCAGCTTCAAGAGTATTCCTTATGCAAGTCAGATATAATCTTAATGTGTTCACCTACATCATAGAACCGGCAAACGGGAAAGTGCATTAGTCCACAAGTAACTTGTGTGAAAATGCTTGAATCGTGTTCCGAATTCCATAAATTGGGCAACAGATATATCGATAAAATCAAAGTTCTTAAACAACATAGCTAGACCAGGTTACCTTCCAGTTGTAGCAGTAAATAAAGGGTTAATAAATCAGGAAGAACCGATTCCTAGCCCCATATGACCTCTTTTAATTTCACTAAATCAGCGGCCAAATAACGAGAAAAAAAAAACGAAAATCACAGAGATAAAAGCCCAAAATTTTATTCCTCTACCTAAATCATGTTCAAGTAAATGATCTCACAGATAAAAGGAAAAAAAATGAATCCCGTTTCATCTTAACTTAAACCCACTAAGTTGAATAATTATCTACTAACGGCAGAATAGAAATGCAGAAATTCCTTCAACATAATTCACTGGCAAACAAGCAATGCAGCATTTTTACTTGAAGAATATGACGCAGAGAAGTAGGATTCTTTCCTCGCCATTTTATCAGGAATAGAATTGAAAAAGTTCCAATTCGAATCTCGAACGAATTCAGGAACAAATCTTCCACTGAGGTGTCTTTCAAGCTCCGGTATAAATTTAGGGGAAGTAGAGGTTTGTATTTTGGCGATAGGGGGAAAAAGAAATCATCATTTTGAGGAAAAAGAAAAAGCTTGCTGAAACAGTTTGCCAACATAATATGTTTTTTCTTTCAACCCTCCTTTTTCTTCTTTTTTCTAATTTACTAAACATAATAGTACAAATTGCGCTCTGGCCCTTGATCATGAGGCTGGGTGAAGTTAAAGAGTGGCAGCGTTCAAGTTATGTTCTAATAAAGCGATCAAGTGACATAAAATTTAGCTCAATATCTATGCTAGATTGTTGTTTTGTGAGTTTTAGTTTTTCTTATCTTCTTAGTGTTGTTATTGTTTTTGGTAGCTATTTGCTTTCGGCTGTAGACGAAATGGCCATGGTGCTAAATACTCTGTAGTGAGTAGCTTCTTATCATGTGTCGTGGGGGCAAGACTGATTTCAAGGGGTTGTCACGAATAGGGACTTAATTGCTCCTGATTCAAAGTAGAGCGACTTATTTGCAGTTTCGTAAAGTATATATATATATGTATTCGCCCCAGGGGCTGAAAAGACATTATGGATTAATAAAGGTTTAAATTGGTTTCTATCAAAATAGTAGATCCCCAAAGCCTCTCTGCGATAGAACCCTAATTTACCCAATTCCATCTTTCAATTTTGTCGATTCCTTCTTGTTTTAGCCTTTAATCCTCCGGTGGCTGACAATAACATTGATCCGAATCAGTCGGGACTCTGTAATCGGTTTACTTCACTTCCTTCCCATTTCATTTCTTCTTTCTCCGGATTCACTACCGGCGGTTCTCCCTAAGCCCTCCAAACCCCAGCGAACCACCACATCTCTCGACGGTTCCAGTGACCTCCACTCCGGCACGGCGACCTCCTTGGGCGACTCGGGCGACTTCGACGTGCAATCCGGCCAATTTCCGGTAATTTTAAACTTTTTTTCAAATAAAATTTGCGAAATCCGAATGTTGTGTAGTATTTTTTTGTGTAGTATTTTTTATGTTTTATCAATTGGTTCGATTAGTTTGATTATTAATTGGTGAAAATGGAATTTAGAATTTTTTGTACTGTTCCTTTTTTTTAGGTTTGCTAGGTTTTGTTTCCCGAAAAAATGCTATTGAATTTTTTAGGTTTGTTTTTTGAATTGTCTCGGTTATATTGAATTGGTATTAGGTTTGTTTGTTAGGTTAGTTTCCCGAATGGATGTTATTGAATTTTTTAGGTTTGCTTCTTGAAGTGTCACGTTTATATTGAATGAATTGGTATTATTTTGCTTTTTAGTCCCGAGTGAATGCTATTGAATTAGTTTGCATTTTTGGTTTGGAAAGTGTTTACATTTGTGTGTTTTTTTAATTTGTGTTAGTTTCTGGTGAATGTTTTGTTAGATTGAATTGGTTTTGTGCAAAAGACGAAGCACAATGAAAGCACACTCGGCATGGGGTTCAGGGAAGAATCCTGTCAAGTTCAGAATTCCTACTGCAGATAATCTTCTTCCTATTCGGTTGGACATTGTAAGTGAGGGCCAGAGATATAGAGATGCTTTCGTGTGGAACCCTTCTGATCCTGATACAGAAGTGGCTGTTTTTGCTAAAAGGACCATAAAAGACTTAAAACTTCCTCAGAGTTTTCACAATCAAATTACTCAATCCTTGCAGTCACAGTTGGCAGAGTTTCGTTCTTATGAAGGTCAAGATATGTACACTGGTGAGCGAGTAGTCCCCATCAAGCTGGATCTCCGAGTGAACAACACACTTATAAAGGACCAGTTTTTGTGGGACCTGAACAACTTTGAGAGTGACCCAGAAGAGTTTGCAAGAACTTTTTGCAAAGATATGGGAATCGAGGATCCAGAAGTTGGACCTGCAGTTGCATTTGCGATTAGGGAACAACTATATGAGATTGCAGTCCAAAGTGTTGCTTCAGCAAAAGAGAGTAGAATGATTAAAAAGGGACGCAAAGGTTTTGAATATTTACCAGCTAGTAAGACTGGTGCTGTTGCTGTGGACCTGGTGAAGTCATTTGGTAACAAGTCCAGTGTCATTAGGAAAAGGAAAGATTGGGATGTGTTTGAACCCATTGTTGATCTTTTGTCAAATGAGGAAGTGGATGCTCTTGAGGCAATGGAAGAAAAGAATGGTCGATGAGTCCTCTTTTTTTTTTGGGATAAAAGATGAGTCGTCGCTTGATAGCATTTTAACGTATTTATTATTGGCAGAAAAGAAAATATATTTGTGGCATTTTGTTGTTACATTTGTGCATTTCTTATAAAGTAGACCATGGTCTTTATTGTAATATTGCAATGTAGACCATAGTCTCTAACGCGCTACAGGGAAATAGGGATGGAGGAAAATCAGGAACTTAGTTATAAGGGGGAAAAATAGGAATTTTATATTTTAATTTTCATCTATAATTTAGATCAGTTTTTCATAGGATTAAGCTCATCCATAACTCACAACCTTTTTCTTCTTAAACTCAAATTCTATTAGGGTGTCCAAGTTATTTTAGCGCTGTTGTTTAAATGTACCGGAATTAATTAATGATGGGAAGAAAAGGTTGGATTCTTTCTTCTTCTTCTTCTTATTCTTTTTCTTCTACCCATTTGAGATGTAATTAACTTGTTTCGTTTTATGTTCTTTAATTCTAAACTTGTTTTTTATCGTTTTCATTAATAACTCATTGTTCATATCCCTTTTACCCTATTAAAGCAGAAAACAGGATGCTGATGTGGCAATTTCTTATTAAAAAGTTTTGGCTCCAAATGCACCATATTGCGTAAACCATTCTGCCACGTGTCACCTCCTTTTAAAAACAAAAAATATATTTACAATATTAACGAAGAGATCAGATGGCCATGTTCATTCAAATTTTGAATTTGACAATGAATGAAACTTTCCTTCTCCACTTACTTAGGACTTTCTAAAAAATTAATTTTCGATCAATCAATTATCTTCATCAAAAACTAAATTCATTCCTAATTAGTTTTGATTATTTACATATTAATTTATTAGGTGGGAGGACGCCCCGAACATTTGCCCGGGACAAGCATCTAGTATTTATTTATTGTTCATAATCTGATAAATCTATAATTAGTAAATAATTATAACTAAGAGTTTTTACTCATATTTTAACATGGGATAAGTCATAGAGACAGCTCATTTTGGTCATACATTGTTTTCTTGCTTCAAATGACAAGGTTAGGATATTAATCTTCAAATTTTTAGTATTTCTTTTTGTGCATATAAACTTTTAATTTTTTTTTTTGGAACTTTTATGTCATGATCATATTAAATTTTTATGTAAAGGCTTGTACGTTTCTGATCTAAAATCCATACATATAATAGTTATTGGTCATACACAATTTGGTAGTTTAATTTATGCAAAAGCTTATAGCATTTGTATTTTTAAGCATTTGTTCATACAATAAATCTTTAGAATTCGTACACATAAACTTTAGTTGTTATTTACATTCTTAATTTAAAAAATGTTATTCAATTCATAGTTTTTGACATAGATGTTCATACGTTTTACCTTTATAATTCATACATATAAAGTATAGTGACGATACACATTTAAGTAATTTTCAGTTGGTTATAAATTTGTATCTTCATTAACAATTTTTTTCTTCTCTCGATTATCAAACCAGGCAACTTAGTAACATCCATTTGCCAAAAATGTATATCTTGTTATAAATATAAAGTGAAGAATAAAGTTACAAGGCCGAGAGAAAGAATAAGTAGGGAGAGAGAACAATAGAGAGGGAGAAAGAGAGAATGATCTATGTATTATTTCTTCAGATACTGCTCTCCTTTTATAGGCATAGCAGATATAGAGATAAGAGCAAATAGAGATAATATGTAACTGGTGATCTAATAAATATTATCTCTCTTCAAGGAATTCTTATACAACTTTACTATCTTGTGGACATCCACATTATCAGATAATTATAACACTCACCCTTGGATGACCATTTTCTGGAATAATACCTCGTTAAAACTTTTACTAGAAAAAATTCAGTGGGATAAAAATCTAATAAAGGAAAAAGAGTACATTTCCAAATCTGACGTTGCCTCGTTAAAACCTTGTTAGGAAAACCCATTGGGACAAAACCTCGATCAAGGGAAAAAGAGTACAGCGTGAGGAGAAACTTTCCCTGTTGATTACATCACTTGACGTCTTTCAACCGCCGCATTCCAATCTTGTGAACTAACTTCTCAAAAGTCAATGTTGGTAATGACTTCGCGAATAAGTCAACTAAATTGTCACTTGAACGAATCTATTGAACATTAATTTCGCCATTCTTCTGAAAATCATGGGTAAAGAAAAATTTGGGTGAAATATGCTTTGTTCTATCACCTTTGATGTATCCTTCCTTCAATTGGTCAATGCAGACAGTATTATCTTCAAACAAAGTAGTAGGGACTTTTTTCTCCAAATGTAATCCACACGACCCTCGAATATGAGAAATAATAGATCTCAACCAAACACATTCTAGACTTGCTTCATAAATTATCATAAGTTCAGAATGATTAGTCGAGTTGCAGCTAAAGTCTGTTTCATAGACCGCCATGAAATAGCTGTTCCCCCACATGTAAAAACATAACCAGTTTGGGATCGACCATTATGAGGATCGGATAAATACCCAGCAACTGCATAACCTACTAAATCAAGCTTAGATGTTCTTGAATAATAAAGACCCATATCTATCGTACTTTGAAGGTAGCGAAATATATGTTTAACACCATTCCAATGCCTTCTTGTAGGTGAGTAACTATACCTAGCTAATAAATTCACAGCAAAAGATATGTCAGCTTAGTGTATGACTAGTAAGATACGTTAATGCCCCAATAGCACTAAGATAAGGTACTTCTGGACCTAGTAACTCTTCACCATCCTCCCCAATAGCACTAAGATAAGGTACTTCTGGACCAAGTAACTCTTCACCATCCTCACAAGGCCTAAAAGGGTCTTTATCCTTATCAAGTGTCCTTACAATCATAGGTGTACTCGAACGATGTGCTTTCTCCATGTAAAAACGTTTAAGCACTTTAGTAGTATAAGCAAACTGATGTAAAAAGATGCCACTTCCGGTGTGCTCAATTTGTAAACCAAAACAAAACTTTGTCTTTCCAAGGTCTTTCATTTCAAATTCTTTCTTCAAGTAATTTGCAGCTTAGGCACCTCAGGAGTCCTAATCATATTTAAATCATCAACATAAACTGTAATGATTACAAACTCAGATCCACATCTTTTGATAAAAATACATGGGCATATTGGATCAGTTAAATAACCTTCCTTTATTAGATATTCACCAAGGCGGTTATACTACATTCACACGGCTTGTTTTAAGCCATACAATGGTTTACACAATTTAATTGAATAAAGCTCTCGAGAACCAAATCCTTTAGGGATCTGAAAACCTTTAGGGATTTTCATGTAAATTTTGTTATCAAGTTACCCATATAGATAGGAAGCCACAACATCCATGAGACGCATTTCTAATCTTTCATTTGTTGCCAGACTTAACAAATAGCGAAACGTTGTTGCATTCACCACCGGAGAATATGTTTCCTCATAATTAATACCCAGTCGCTAGGAAAAACCTTGTGCGACGAGACATGCTTTATAACGCTCGATTTCATTTTTCTCATTTCCTTTTCGCACAAATACCCATTTGAATCCTACCGGTTGCACATCTTCAGATGTGCGCATTATTGGTCCAAAGACTTTATCTTTTGCCAATGAATTTAATTTTATTTGAGTAGCATCTTTCCATTTTGGCCAATCATTTCTTCATCTGCACTCATCTACAAACCGTGGTTCTTGATCCTCATTTTCATTTATAATGTTAACTGCTGCAGCATAGGCAAATTTATCGTTGACTTCTATTGTACATCGGTTCCACTTTTGTCCCGTCATAATATAATTAATTGAGATCTCAAAACTTTCAGGTACATGAACTTCTTCAGGAAGTTGATTTTCTGTTACGTCGGGATCTTTTATTGCCAAAGTTTCTTCAGGAAGCTTAACAACCTCAAATTCTCCATCTTGAGTGTTTGCTCTTTTTCGTTTACGAGGATTTTTATCTTTAGAACCGATTGGTCTACCACGTTTTTGTTGTGCCCGTAATTCATGATTTGTGGTAGAAGGTCCTTCAGGAACATCAATTCGGGAAAGAGCATTAACAGCTGGTATATGTGATTTAGTCACACGTTTCAAGTCAGTAGAAGTATTTGGCAATTGATTTGCTAATTGTTGCAAATGAATTATCTTTTGAACTTCTAGTTCACATTACCTTGTACGAGGATCAAGATAAGATAATGACAATTCATTCCAACTGATATGCTTATATTTTACCTATTTATTATATCCCTAATTTGTGATTTTTACAATATATTTTGAGTCCAAATATGCTATTTATATGATTTTATCTTTATTTGTAGGAATTGTACTCAATTGAAGAATTGTTGAAGTTTTTGAGCTAAATTAGAGATTAAAGCAACTCAAAGGGGAGAATTGAAGATTTGATAAATTAACAAGGAAGAAATTGAAGTAATTGAAAAATTAGAGGACCAATGATGCAAATTTGGGGTTTTGATTTGAATTTGGCCGATTTGGATTTTTGGCGAAGAAGGTTTCCGAATTGATTTCGGTGGCCAATTAAAATCATCCGGAGGAGTTTTAATCCCAATTGACTTGAAAGAAATATAGTTTCCTTATTCCCGAAGAAATAGGGTTTGACGGAAACCTATAAAAGAAGGATTAGAGTTTTATTTTTGTGGGCGGAACTTGACCGAAACAAAGACCGCCGCTGCAACCCTCCGCCGAACCACCTTTTTCTCCAGCTTCGCCGAACCACCACCATCAGCCCCAACTCCACGCCTCCATCACCACTACCACCTTGCCCTCTCCTTGCTGCGCACAAAGCCATCTTGCTCCATCTTCACCGAAACTCCAACTCTCTCACACAGCCACAAACCCACGCGTGAACCAGCAGCCCTGCACACCTCCGACGCACCAGCACCACCCTCCTTCTCCACGCAAAAAAAAAAAACCCACCTGCCTGCTCTTCTCTCCTCGCTGCAACACCACCTTGCTTTTATCTTCTCCTCCTCACCGCAAAACAATCACCAAAGCCCAAAACCCCAAACTTAACCCTCTAAGCCAGCCACCACTTCCACACAAAAAAAAAAAAACCCCACGCGCACACACCACACATATATTACCATCATCATCAGAAAGGAGGAAGACGCATCACTTCATATCAACGTTTGGACTTCTCCCGGGTTTCATTATTTTATTTATTTAATTCTGAGATGATGTGTGGTTAAATATTTAATCTAGGGTTTTGGATGTAGCCGCCGTACTATTTAATTTAATTTAAGTTATGATTGTGACTTTTTCATTAATTAATATTTATTATTCTTGTTTTTCATCCATGTGAATACCTGATCAATATTTGTATGCTTTAAGGTGCTAGTTGAAGTAGCGAGAGTGGAAGGCTAGTATTAGTTTGTAGGAATAATAAACTTAGGTAGTGAGCCACGAGAGTAGGAACACAGCCTTCGCGACTAGTAATTCCAAAGTTCTTAATGTGCTTTTATTAATCCCTATAGCCACGAGAGTAGTCATAGGGTTAGTTTAAGTAAGAGGGTTATGACACGAGAGTGTATAATTCTTAAATTGGTGAATTGTCGTGAGATTAATGAGAGTTGAAAGTCACAGATCTATAGATTAACTTAAACTGAATAGTCTGTTGGTGAACCCTTTGCCCTAGGTTTTTTTTCTTTTACTTATTTATATCTTTAAATAATTACAATTGTTAGTTTTAGGTTTAGATTAGTTTAAATTGATAAATTGTTAATCTAAATAATAATAAGAAATAATTTTAACCGGTACTTGGTAACCTTCTCTGTGGGATCGACTCTGCTTTCTGCTTTGCTGTTAGTAATTGTATGAAGTAGGTAATTAATTATTTGACTAGTGTGACGACGGCTTGTCAAATTTGGCGCCGTTGCCGGGGAAGGCAATTATCAATATCAAAACTAGATTATTTCTTTGATTAATTTAGATTTGTATATATTTTTCTTTATTTGTAATTTTTATTTTTACTTTTAATTTATTTCTCTTTTCTTTCTTGTGTCAATATCTTTGTAGGATTTTTGAGCTATTATGGAGAATTTTAATTATGGATATGGAAATCCTCCGTATTATGGTTATAATTCTGAATATGGAGACTATCCTACATATCAAGAAGATCCTTATTCTTGGAACAATTCGTCTTATGATCCTTACTATAGTTGTGATTATCAAGGGTATTCATTTGATGCTGGGTACAATTCTGGTTTTGAGAGCGAGTGTATGACTCCTGGGATGTTGTCATGTTTGGAGAGAATTGATAAATTGCTGGATGACATGGAGAAGAAAAATGCTTCATATTTCTCTAAAGAGGATTGTTACCACTCAAATGCATCGATATCAACCACCGCCTCCTCAACCCACTCTAAGAGAGTTACCACGTCCTCAACCCACTCTAAGAGTGTTACCACCTCCTCAACCCACTCTGAGAGAGTTAGCATCTTCGTATCAACAGCCACCTGCTCAACCTCAACTTACTGTTAGAGAGGCAGCTCTTCGAGATTTTCAAAGTGAAAAAGGCCAACAACTTATCAAAGAGGTCAATCAATATAGGTTGAGTGTGGGGTTGCCGGAATATGATCCTATAGGAAATTTGTTTAAATTAAATAAGAATGAGAAGATTTTTGAAGATGATTCATTGGCCCAGTCTCCCCAGCCACCATCTCAAACTGAGCTTGAATGTGAAGAATTAGAAGAGACCGAAGAGATTAACAGTCAAGATATTCCAAGTTCTCCTGATTCTTCTGGTATATACATAGTAGTTAAGCATGATTCGCTCATTCTGAGAGTTGGTGACAAGGATGTAGATCAAGTTGATTTCACTGAGCAGAACACTCCTATAGTTTCAAAAGAAGGGTTTGAAGTAGACACATGTGGTGAAGTTGTCTCTAGTATAAGAGATAGTGAGGATGATGAAAAAAATGGTTCAATGAAAGACCAAGAAGAGGATCAATGGTACAAGATTGAATTTGAGAAAGAGGATATTGTAGTGTTGGAGTATAAGTTTATATTTTCTCATGGAAAGGAGAACCACTACAAGAGATTCATTGTTGCTGCTGAACATGGTTTCTTCTGGTATCGAGATGGATACTCTGACTGATTGGCCATGGAGTCCGGCTAAAGACTTTAAAACAGCGCTTATTGGGAGGCAACCCAACATTTTATTTTATTTTTCTTTATTTTATTTTATTTTTCATAAATAAGTGATGGTTGAGTTTTTTTGTTCCTGATTATTTGGAAATCTTTGATTTCTAAATTTTCGTGGTTTTTCTTAATCATCTACCTGATAAAATTTACCTTTGTTTTTGTTTATGTGTGGCAGCTACTCTCTAGAACAAATGGTGATGGAAAATGCTTGGATGGTTAAGTAACAGATCTCTTTATTCTTCAACTTCAATAATTCCGGTCCTCTGCTTCACATTCCAAGGTTGTGTCGTTTCTTTTCATTCTTTTTGTTTATGTCTTTTCTTTTCTTTTCACTTGGTTGCTTTGTCTTTTATGTTTTATACATTGAGGGCAATGTATACTTTAAGTGTGGGGGAGAGGAATTTGTGTTTTGTGTTTGGTGTGTTTTGTGTTTATTATCATTAAAAAATATAATAAATAAAAAACCCATAAAAATTGAAAAATTCAAAAATTCAAAAAGGCCTATGATGAAGATGGTTTGATTATCTATAGCATGTAAGAATTAAGCTATTTTGAATTGTATTGCTTAACTTATGTACTTCTATATGTTGCTTTGAATACCCTGCTTTTTATGCACTTAGTCGTGACTGTGGGATAAGCGTAAAATATGACATAGTTGCATAAGTTTGATGTAGATATGCCATGAAAGTTGTTTGATTCAGTCATACTTATATGATTTGTATGTGGAACCCATCATGTTGTGAAGTAAATGCAAGGCATTAACCCAATATCAGCCTTAAAAAAACCTTATTGCTTTGCACTGTGTGTTAAGTAAGTTTGGGGGAGGGGTGTTGGCGGATGCTTCTGAGGTTAGGTAAATTTTAATGAGGGAGAAAAGATAGAGCATTCAATGTTGATGCTAGCCCCTTGAGAGGTGAGGAATTGGCAATCTAAGCGGAGAGTCCTCAGGCCCGGTGAGAAAAAATAGATATGTAGACTGCCCTAAGTTGCTGAGCCACTATGTATAGGAGTGGAAAAATGCTCTGGGTAGTGGCCTGAGTTGGAAAGAGTCCTGAAGAAAAGCCGCATAGACCGAAGAATGGGTTACGAGGGGGAATAGGTTGTCTGTAAGATAAGTCCTTCTACTTCATAGTATGTTTGGCGGTCCATTGCATTGAAATTTGGTATGAAACGTGAGTATGTTGTTAAATTAAAATGACATATTTACAGCAGAGTTTTTGTTTTCTATGTTAAATGTAAAGTGATGTCCCTAAAAAACGGATCGCACACACACACAAGCGTTGGGGGCTAAAAAAGCATATGGTTTGCATTTTGTTAGCTAGTACATACTAGAGGTAGTCGAGGTCTTTGTGTTATATGATATTAAATCTCTGAGGCCGCCCAAATTAAAGAATTAACTGTTTTAATTTGTTTTAATCTTTGAAAATGCTTGAGGACAAGCAATAATTCAAGTTTGGGGATATTTGATATGCTTATATTTTACCTATTTATTATATCCCTAATTTGTGATTTTTACAATATATTTTGAGTCCAAATATGCTATTTATATGATTTTATCTTTATTTGTAGGAATTGTACTCAATTGAAGAATTGTTGAAGTTTTTGAGCTAAATTAGAGATTAAAGCAACTCAAAGGGGAGAATTGAAGATTTGATAAATTAACAAGGAAGAAATTGAAGTAATTGAAAAATTAGAGGACCAATGATGCAAATTTGGGGTTTTGATTTGAATTTGGCCGATTTGGATTTTTGGCGAAGAAGGTTTCCGAATTGATTTCGGTGGCCAATTAAAATCATCCGGAGGAGTTTTAATCCCAATTGACTTGAAAGAAATATAGTTTCCTTATTCCCGAAGAAATAGGGTTTGACGGAAACCTATAAAAGAAGGATTAGAGTTTTATTTTTGTGGGCGGAACTTGACCGAAACAAAGACCGCCGCTGCAACCCTCCGCCGAACCACCTTTTTCTCCAGCTTCGCCGAACCACCACCATCAGCCCCAACTCCACGCCTCCATCACCACTACCACCTTGCCCTCTCCTTGCTGCGCACAAAGCCATCTTGCTCCATCTTCACCGAAACTCCAACTCTCTCACACAGCCACAAACCCACGCGTGAACCAGCAGCCCTGCACACCTCCGACGCACCAGCACCACCCTCCTTCTCCACGCAAAAAAAAAAAACCCACCTGCCTGCTCTTCTCTCCTCGCTGCAACACCACCTTGCTTTTATCTTCTCCTCCTCACCGCAAAACAATCACCAAAGCCCAAAACCCCAAACTTAACCCTCTAAGCCAGCCACCACTTCCACACAAAAAAAAAAAAACCCCACGCGCACACACCACACATATATTACCATCATCATCAGAAAGGAGGAAGACGCATCACTTCATATCAACGTTTGGACTTCTCCCGGGTTTCATTATTTTATTTATTTAATTCTGAGATGATGTGTGGTTAAATATTTAATCTAGGGTTTTGGATGTAGCCGCCGTACTATTTAATTTAATTTAAGTTATGATTGTGACTTTTTCATTAATTAATATTTATTATTCTTGTTTTTCATCCATGTGAATACCTGATCAATATTTGTATGCTTTAAGGTGCTAGTTGAAGTAGCGAGAGTGGAAGGCTAGTATTAGTTTGTAGGAATAATAAACTTAGGTAGTGAGCCACGAGAGTAGGAACACAGCCTTCGCGACTAGTAATTCCAAAGTTCTTAATGTGCTTTTATTAATCCCTATAGCCACGAGAGTAGTCATAGGGTTAGTTTAAGTAAGAGGGTTATGACACGAGAGTGTATAATTCTTAAATTGGTGAATTGTCGTGAGATTAATGAGAGTTGAAAGTCACAGATCTATAGATTAACTTAAACTGAATAGTCTGTTGGTGAACCCTTTGCCCTAGGTTTTTTTCTTTTACTTATTTATATCTTTAAATAATTACAATTGTTAGTTTTAGGTTTAGATTAGTTTAAATTGATAAATTGTTAATCTAAATAATAATAAGAAATAATTTTAACCGGTACTTGGTAACCTTCTCTGTGGGATCGACTCTGCTTTCTGCTTTGCTGTTAGTAATTGTATGAAGTAGGTAATTAATTATTTGACTAGTGTGACGACGGCTTGTCACCAACTAATATTTTTAACCAACTATTTACTTTCTCCCCCTACTGTTGGAAAAACTGACTCATCAAAATGACAATCAGCAAAATGAGCTGCAAATAAATCTCCAGTTTTTTTGCTCAAGAAATTTTATGATTGATGCAGATTCATATCCAACATATATTCCCAACCTCCTTTGAGGTCCCATCTTTGTGCGTTGTGGTGGAGCAATAGGAAAATATAGCACTCAACCAAAAATTCTAAGATGGGAAATGTTTGGTTCTTGACCAAAAACTAATTGTTGAGGAGAGTATTCATGATAATTTGTTGGCCTGATACGAATTAGTACTGCGGCATGTAGCACAGCATGCCCCAAGCAGATATTGGGAGTTTAGTTCTTATAAGTAAAGGCCTCGCTATCAACTGGATGCGCTTTATGAACGATTCTGCCAGACCGTTTTGTGTGTGAACATGAGCTACAGGATGTTCAACTTTAATCCCAATTGACAAACAATAATAAGGACTGGGATGTAAATTCACCAGCATTATCCAAATGTATTGTCTTAATAGGATTACTAGATGCTTGGCCCGGGCGGATGCCCGGCCGATCTCTTATAAATAATATTGTTAATAATTTATAATTATAATAATAATGATAGTAATAAAAATAACGATGATATATAGATTTGGGTTAAAAAGAAGTAAATGAAAATCATATGGAAGAATTGTCAATAATAGAATGCTGTGGGTATAAAATAAATATAGCAAAGTCGGGGGATCACTTCCGTAAAATGGTGTTCTGTAAAAATATAAACAAAAGAAAAAAATTGAGAAAGGCATAATTCCATTCTTGTGCATATCGAACAGATCTGCAAAGTGAACATTTCCTTTTCAGTCTGAAAATTCCGGCCATCAGATCTAATTAATGTAAAGGCTTTCCAAATTCTTTCCATATGTTCATTGTTACCATCGTTTACATTTCTTCAGCTGTTCATCTATATTCATATGTTTTCGAGGAAATCGAAACATTCATTCCGGTCAGAGAAGAATCAGATTGATTTGAATAATCAGCATCATCGAAGGGATTGAAAGCTGTTGATGGGTTCGCATTTAAAGATGTTCTTGATTACAGATGGAAAAACATCGGTTTCCGTGCATCTTCTATGGTGGGATATAAATCGGTTCGTCATATGTAGGAGTGTTCAATCAAAGATTGTGAACTGTATTCATGCAAGATTCTAGGTCGGAAATCCCATTTCAATCTGTGCGGAAAAAGAATCACTTCGATTATTCTACGGAGGTAATATTATTAATATTTTGAAATAGTATGCTATTTATTTTCATTGACAGTAATGTATTACAATCATTTATTTCATTACAAATCTATGTTTGAACATGTGAATGGTGTGTGCAGAATATCTTCGATGAAATACTCAAACAATGTTCAGTAATAAAGCTGCAGTTTAACATGCAAGATGATATTTGGGCAATATGTTTTTGGATGAGGTAATTATAAACTTGTTTAACTTTTTTTTCTGATATTATTCAATTAGCATCTACTGTGTTAAAGCACATACGTTTTTCTAATTCAACTGATATTATTTTTTGTTTTTAACAGTTAATTGAATATTTGTATGTATTTGTTTCTATGATGTGCATAATAATTTGTTATCATGTGTGTGGTTAGAATGTTTTTTTTTTGAAAAATGTTAATGATTTTAGAATAAGAAATATCTGTCAGATGTAATCATTTCCTTAAAGCTAATATGAAGTTACCCATATTGCTGAAATCTTCTTGCATAAACTCCCTTTCTTGAAAGAAAACTCGTGGTCGAGTTATACTTTGGGTTTTCCACTGTCAAAAGAAATTGCAGTTAAGTACTACAATGCCTTCTTTCTTCTCCTCCGGAAAACATAAAGAACTGGATGTATTTGAAACCTCTTGTACCAATAAAGTATCTTCACTTTGAATAGAGATGCAGGTTTTAGTGTAAAAACAGGTTAATTGGTTTGATAGCAAGCACAGATCAAAAAAAAGAACTGTAACATTTTACTGTTATAAAAAAGAAATTTAAAACAACTAATTTCATCTAACGTTACAGAGAGCTTCCTTGTAGACGACAT